GTGCCATGCAATATGTATCGAAGTAATATGCCAGTGCTCAGGAAACATCAAATCAATACCATGTAACTGTCAGCCGGAGTCACCTAATGTGACCTGTACGGCCGAATCTAGAGCTCGAATCTCCATCTCACTAACTATACCTGCACACGAGTCGGAACCACCTAAAGTGGTCTGTACGACAGGTCTGGGTGTAATATAAGTACGCTCAAGTGCTACGATCACGTGAAGGCTGGGCGAATAATCGCGGGTCACCTACGAGTCGGAACCACCTAAAGTGGTCTGTACGACAGGACTGTGCACCTAACTTGGATCCAAGATGAGCGTGTGGTGCGGGAGGTGAACATCACGTGAAGGACTGTGCCCTACTCTGGGCGGGAGCACTAACACCGGGGGTGCAGGTTATGAGCTCTCTAAGTCTCTAGAATTACTACTGAACGTAAATAGAAATTATACTCACCTGGCACTCACCTGTGCGTCCACAGCACCAATATACATATGTATAAATGCAACTAACAATGTATAACAACGGCAATATAATGCATGGCGTATAATGAATAAACGATTCAAAATCAATTTCTGGGAAAAGTATAAGTATATAGGTATATACGGAAAACCAAAAGCCCACTCACTGGTAAGTGGAAGGGTCGTAACCCCCTTGCCTCGAGTGACCACGCTTGTCCTCGGGATACGTCTCACCTATATGCGAAACAACTATAAAAACGTTAATTTTAAAGCACATAACCAACCTTTAGAAATAACTTCTCATACATTGCTCAAATAGGGTGTATGAATACACCAACGTGATCTACTCAACCTCAGGAACATCCCCATATTTTTAAAATAATTTTTCACCGTCGCATGCGCCCTCACGCGTCGGCCAAGGCACGGCCACACGCGCCGGCCACGCGCAGGCCGTGCCTGGCACGCTGATGGCGCCAGTTGACGCCGTCAGGAATATTCTGTTATTCCCTAACGGTTTCCGTCAACGGCGTTAGGAATATTCCGTCCAACTGACGAATATTCCGTCGTCTTCTCCGGCGAGACTCCGGCGCCGGAAAATCGGGAAAAACTTCTAATCGTTCTATCTTCTTCGTTTTTCAACCAAATTTCACAAAATTGGTATCAAAATGAAGCTTACAACGAGAGGAACAAAACCATACCACTTTCAAGTGCTAAAATCCACGAAATCTCACCTGAAAAACTCCACCCTTTCCGGCCAACTTCGAAACTCACAATCCCGACATCCAAAACCTTCAAACGAACCACTCCGAGCCTCCTAGGGACCTCACCAAGCTTCCTACAAGCTTGAAATTCCCAAAATCGTGAGAAATCACGTGTGCATGAACAGTACCAAAATCGGGCAACCCGAGTTCGACTTGAAAACGAAGGTAACCTTACCTGAAATGGGTATGGTTGGACTCCTACGAGCCTCACGAGCATGGATATGTATTTTGTTTCTTCGATCTGTGAATATTTAATGGGTGTGTGTGTGTGTCCGTACGATGGTGATGATAATGGAAGGGAAAGGGACTCGGGGTAGGGGGTACAGGGCTGAGGAAAGGTGAGGGTGAGTGTGGGGAGGTGTGTGGTGCAAAACCAGCCACACAAACCAAAAAGAACAACCACACAACGAAAAATCTCGCTAGGGGCAAAATCGTCTTTTCACGCGTACGTTTTTAAAATTTTCGGGACGGGCTGTCACAACATTCTCCTATAAAAAAATTCATCTCCTAATTCTTTTTCTTTTCCGTCTTTTCCTTCTTGGTTCCTAATTATTTATTGTCTCAATTGATTAAGATTTCTTGCATAATCTGATTAGCTTATTGTTTGCCATGTATGTTTCAATGTCAGCAAATCGGAATTTGCATAAGCATTTCCTTGTCATTTTTTGTGTTGCATATGCCCCTATTAGAGGGTTTTACTATGTGACTACAGGGTTAAAAAAAATTGAAACCGAACTAAAACCGGACCGTAAAAAATCAAATCGAAAAAAAAAAAAAATCAAACCAAAAAATATAAACCGAAACTAGAATTGAACCAATATTTCGGTTTTGGCAAAAAACCGAACCGAATGAAACCAAACTCACCTCTACTTGAGACAACCATTGCCAAAGGAATTGGATTTGATGACACGGGACAAGCCACTGCCCTCAAACCAAATATAGCTGAGAGCAACATTCTTGAAGTTTTGAAATCTTGGTTGTCCTTGAGTTCTTGTCGTAACACACTAGTAAGCCACCTCCCTTAATTTCAATTCTCTTTTCTAGTAACAAGTTGTTACCTTTAGTTATTCAGGCACCCACTCTTAAGTTTAAACTGTTACCAGATCATTTGAAGTATCACTTTCCGTTTGAAGATCAAATCCATGGAAGTTTTGAGGAGCACGTTATGGAGGATGTACCAGTTGGAAATGTGCCCAAAAGCCAATCATATGATGATACTTTACAGACATTTCACATGTTAAACTAATCTAGTTTAATATAAAGGGCTAAGATTATTGTTTAAATGCGTCTCATATAAATGTTTTATGCTCAAACAATAAGTCCAAAAAATATGTAATTGGGAGAATGTGATCTAAAGAAGTTAGATTCATAAGACAATTCTATTTTGTATACATATCCTAAACGTTCCTGATCATATGACTGCCAATTGAGTATTGACAGTCCGTTAAGATCAGTATGTGCTATGTCTTTTCTTAGGGAGAGTGACTGGTCTCGAGTCATTGGTGTGACTGACATCAAGACAAGCATGTAGGTGCTTAATGGAGAATGAGTCCACTGAACATGATCAACAAGGAGTTCTCATACTCATGGTTAGGATAATGCAAAGTAGTCATTTGACCTAGGCATTATAGTTGTCTTGTGGTTAGGTCTTTGATATTTGACTATGTCAAAGTCACTTCATCAGAGGGTGTCCACGGCATAGTTGGGGTTAAGCCACTTAGCCATGGAGGCAAGTGAATGCACAACAAAGGATCTCTAACCTTCAACCGTTTGAGGGACAATACTCTATGATATGATTAAGAATTTTTGGCCAGAGTATGAATGAGATTTAGGAAGTCGTTCCAAATCACATTCATGGTAATCATATAAGTAAGAGAATCACATGAGATAGTAGACATGAATAAACTATCAAACTAAACAATGCGGTCAAAAGTATTGTATTAGAGAAAGACCGTATTGCCTTGTAATCTTACACTGAATAGGTTCTCCACCTTTTCTGATTAGCTTACATAGACATGATATATTGCTAGGTGTCACTCATGGTTTGTGAAAGCCTTAAAGGTGTGTAATCACTAAAGGGAGAATTGAAAGTAAGTTTCAATTCATAATCGATTTGAAGAGTTCTAATCACTCATTGCCTTACTAAAAGGAACGTAATGGATCATACACCGTGTAAGGATAATTAAATGGTTTAATTATTTATGGCAAGGATTAATTAATATGATGATTAATCAAACAAATAAGTTCGTTTTAGACCTTGGGTTAGTTTTGGGCCGCAAGGCCCAATGGGACACACTCATTAACCCTCATATTTTCCGAAGTTCTATAAAAAGAAAGACTCTTCACTCTTGAAATTACTCCTCTCAAGACATCTAACTACGATTTTCCTACTATGTAATAACTACTACCACTTTTTCTTTTCCTACAATGACTCAAGAAAGCTGTTAGACCCACCATAGTGTCATATTTTCTCACCCACATTATAAACACACACAACATAAAAATAAAAATAAAATTTGAAATGTTATTTCCCATTGTTGGAAATGTGCCCTAAACCTAATTTTATGATCATACATTACAGACATTTCACATGTTAAACTAAACTAGTTTAATATAAGAGCACATATTATTGTTTAAAGCCGGCTCATATAAATGTTATACGCTTAAATAATAAGTCCAACAAATATGTAATTAGGAGAATGTGATCTAAAGAACTTAAGTTCATAAGACCATTCTCTTTCGTACACATATCCTAAACGTTTCTGATCATATGATTGCCAATTGGCATTGATGATCCTTTAAGATCAATACATGTTATGTCTTCTTTATTGGAAAGTGATTGGTCTCGACTCATTGCTATGATTGATATCAAGACAAGTATGTACGTGTGAGTCCACTAAAACATAGAAACATACTTCCCCCATTTAATCGTTAAATGCATGTATTATGTTACTTAATGAACTTAGTTTTTCAAGAATTTTCCTTCAATTTCCCCACCACTATTATTCCTAAAAACTGAAATTCTCTTTCTCCCACAACGAAGTCTTTTCAAATGATAATCTACTAGTAAATGAATGACCTCCAATGTTTTGCTACTATGTGATTATGCACTCCAATAACTACCGTCAATATCCCATTACCCTCAGTTGCTAGCTTTTTACCCTTTAATTGGAAAAGGCATCCACACTTTTTCATTCCATAATTCCTTCTATCCTCCCACTTTATGTCTTTTTTGCAAATTTGGCTTGCATATTGTTCATTCATTTCACAGCCTAATGTAAGATTAATTGTCTTCACTTATAAGTGAGAATTTCTATTCACTTGGACGTGAGAGGTCTTCTATTCGATTATCATAAAAAACAAAATTGAAGCACATTATTATTAATCCATTATAAAGCATAACTCACTTCTTCATCCCTCTAGAGTAAATATTATCGTTTGTTAAAAAAACACTATTTTATTCATTACCTTGCGAAAGCTCATTATCTGGCACTTCGCCATCACAGTCATGCCAACCTTTACAAAAAGGGTTGATAATTGATAGGGCAATCAAACCCAGCCAAAAATAAATAAAATAAGGACACGTGCAACATAATTACGTACAAAAAATATTCGACAACCTGGAAAAATTCCACTGTTACTATCATTTTTAATTTAAATTGAGAAATAATTAATCATATAAATCCAAGTGCCTCCTTGGTGCCGTTAGTGTACACGTCAGCACAAAGAAAACTATTCACAGAGAGAGAGAGAGAGAGTGAGAGAGAGCGCGTTGTCTATTTAGTCTGGAATTCGTCCCTCTCAGCTTTCTTCTTTCTGGACACGACACCTTTTTGATATCTACGCGGCATCGTTTCGGATCCAATCCCAGCTTCAACTGCCACTGTTGGCGGTAAAACTCCCCCGAATCAGGCGTGACACGTTCGTCACCAACCCACTTATCACATCTCTCTCTGCCCACAACCGTAGTAGTTTCAAAACGGTCGATTTTCAGAAAATTCTCCCCCACCGCCACCGTGTCAGCCGTTGGTTTCATCGTCTTGGATGGAGAAATCGAATATTTACAGAGGCAGTTACACCAACGGAGCTTACCATTCAACCTTCTCTTCCTCTTCTCGCGCCGATGTCAGTTACAGGTGCCATCTCTCTCTCTCTCTCTCTCTGAAACTATTCTTTTTATTTATTATTGGTTTGAATTTGTCTTTGTATTTGATACGATCGCAATGGAAATTGGATCTTTGATCTCTTAGTGCTTTTAATAGTTGATTATATTTAGTTAATTAATAGAGGAGGAGTGAAAAATCGAAAGAATTGGCAGGATTTAATTTGTGTTTGTTGGCGTGGAATTGTTGAAATTGATTGGGACCAGAAATTCTTTAGACTAAACAAGTAAGGAAGATTTTGAGATCTGTGAAAAGGGTCCTCAACAAAATTGCAAAAATGGTGTCAATTGGAAGAAAAGGGAAATTATCATAGACATTCTTTTATCCACAATATAAATGAAACATTCTTGCAGTTTTTGATATTTAAATTTCAGTTCTTTGAGATTGCAATTGCTTAGTTTGTTTCTTGTTGGGAATAGTCGAGTGCAGTTTTGCTCACTTGCCACCCATGGCCACCGCATTGATTCTAGTTACATGAGTGTGATTTAATCTCAAAATTTAAAATCAACTTATGACAATCTATGCGGTGGTATCGTCACCACGTAAGAGTGGTGGCGAGCAACAATATTTTTGAAGGAGTGCAGGAAGTAAAAAGAAAAAGTAGTGTTAAGATTACTGGCCAACATTTACGATCTACCTCTCGTTTTGCTACTTTAAGTTTTGTTATAGTGGATTAGTGGTAGAGCAATTGCCTCAGCTTACTCCAACCTAAGCAGAGTTCTACATTCTAAGACATTGTTATTCATGATTAAATAAATAGAGTAAAAATTGAGGATAGTTCTTTGTGCGGGGACACTCTTTTTCTCTTTGTCCAGGTTGAAATTCACGGCAAGGTTTTAATTGAGTCCCATGTATGCACTCTATCCTCATCATTTTTGTTTGTACGTATTCCCTCTCGTTTCAATGAATATCGTACTTTTCTCAAAAAAGTCAGAAGTGCTAAGAGCATGACAAAATTTTGTTTTAAATGTTAAAAGGACAAAAATATTTCAAATTTCTTTCTCTCCAAAGTCTTTGGTCATTTCTATTTAGTTGTCTTTAAATCTTCATGAACCAATTTACAGAGCATATAACATGGAAATTGTTTTTTTGTGCAGCTGTGGCTCTTGTGGCTATGAGCTGAACCTAAGTTCCAACAACCGGAACACTTCTACAATTGGCTCTAATAAGTATGGAAAATCTATAAAGCGGGGGATCATATCGTTCTTTAACGTCGATGAGAGCAGATTTACTCAGGTTGATGAACTTAAGTGTAAACCCCATTTCTCTAAGCGTTCATGGGGTTTGTTCAGCCGGAGAACTAAACTTCTTTGTCGCAAGTGTGGTAACCATATAGGAAACGCTTATGATGAGTACACTTCATCTTCTTACCCACTTGTGTTAGATGGATCAGATTCATCATCAGGCCATGAAGTTACCAAATGCAGAAAATTTGATGTTAGAATTCGTGCTTTGCAGCCTTCGAATTCTGAAGAATGTGGCACTTCGTTTTTAGAATGACATTTGCTGAGCAAGCATACTTGTATGAGGTTATACTCTCTACGGATTGTATCGGTTTTGTGTTTTACCCTTTTGTTAGAAAGTTTGCCTGTATATATATAAAAGTTTAGTCAGCATTGAAGGAATTGTGGTGTGGAATTTTTGAAGTGCTTTGAATGATTGAGGAAAGTTTGTTAGAACATACCATTGCTAGCTCTCTTCAATTTCTGGGAGAATATAATTTCTGAACAATTATTTTTACCGTTAACCTTATCAACGGATTTACTTAGTTTGTTAAGAGTTATCATTTGAAGTAAAAGAAGAATTTCTCATTGGACATGTAAACAATGATCCTTCCGTAACATACTATTCACGACTCTCGCCATCATTTATCCAGTGAAAGGTTTTATAAGGGTGCCCTATCCGGCAGCTCTCTCGCGCTATGGTTAGACTTGAGCGAGCTCCCGCCTAAGGCAGGCTTACTGAAAAATTCTCTTCCTCACAGCCCTTTCTTGTATCGACTGAAAACAATTTACAAAATATAATAAATTATACAATATGGAACAAAATGGCATCTGAAGATTTTTTTGTTTTTTTTGATGAGGGGAGATTCAGAACATTGAGTGTCAAGAATCAAGACACTTACTATCTGAATTTTGATACCCAATCAATGCTTTTTTTTCTAGGTTTGGACTATACAAGTCACGGACAAAAATGTTGAAAATGTCCACCGATTGGTCGGCTTACAGATTCTTCATCGAGAATATTGCAATTGTATTTACCTTGGAAATGGCATATCTATAAAGGAGAATGTGGCTTCCTTTATGTAAGGATTCGTTTTTCTTTGCAAACAAATAACAATTTAACACGTTACTTATTTATATGTGTGGCTATATTATTTATAGGTAAGGAAGAATATCTCTTTAGTTGTAAGGAGCTAAAAGATGTTCTTCTACCAGTGCAATACTTTGGGTACTGACTTTCTGACATGGTCTAATTAAAAAATGTCACGCGTTCCTTGTTTATTAAAGCCGAAAAAAAATTCCATATCAGATGTTCTTTGCGCTATATAAAACAAAGAGTAGTTCCTTCTTGGATTTTCTTACATATCATCTATAAAAACCTTTTTGGTATGATTATTTTCTCCATTATGGAGTCACCAAGAATTGCTATGAAAGTTATAATCACTCTGTTTTGCTCTTGCATGCTTTTGTCAGAGTCACATTTCACCACTTTTACTGCCTTGGCTTTGGAAGACTGAGTTTCCAGCCATCTTTAACTTTGGAGACTCTAATTCAGATACTGGTGGATTGGCCTCGTCCCTTTTGGAACCACCCCCTCCTTACGGCGAGACCTTTTTTCGTAGGCCGGCTAGAAGGTTCTCCGATGGCCGCCTCATAATCGACTTCCTGGGTATGTATTCGGTCATCTCTTAATCTTCTCACACTAAGAGAAACTGCTTTTTGTGTTATTCCAACGCTCTTCCTATCGAACATGTTCACATAGGCAGCACACATCATATACTTTGTTCTGGATTGTAAATCATTATCTTTTTCTTATTTTAAGAAAGTCAAAATTATGTTTTTTTAATTGTTTTGAACTCGAAATCTCTTACTAACTGTAAATTAAGAATTCCAGGAGGAATGCTATCTTTATACATGTTTATAAAATTCAAAGTAGAACATTATGGTTTGAACCCGTGGAGCCAATTTCTTTTCTGTTGTTGAATCCCGTAAAATTCAAAGTAGAACTTTATGGTTTAAATCCTTGGAGCCGATTTCTTTTCTGTTGAATCCAACATCATAGTTTTCTTGCTGTGTTCCATGTTAAAAGGATCCAATGAACTTTGTATATGTTTTCCAATAGTTACTTCTCACGGATTGGGGAGCAATGCACTGGTACAATCACTATAAAAAAAGTTCCCTTTCCAACGTAATAATTTCGTCGGGCCTACTAGGGTTCCATCGCCTTTTATTTTGCCCGACGAAATATCGTTGTGCAACGTCTATCGTGTAAAACTCATTGCTCAAATGCTTACACGACGAAATATAATATTTGGTCAGGTACGTTATGTTTACTTGACAAACATCGAGTAAAGTACGTTGACTACTTAGCCCGAGACATCTTTTCCTCCGGCACATGGAGATAAAAAATATATATATATATTTTTCTTGATGGAAATTCGTCGGGCAGCTAATTTAAAGAAAAATACAAAATACATGTCTCGACGAAATAATTCGTCGGGCAAAATTTTTATTTTTATATTCATAAATTAAAAAAATATTTAGTTTTAATTATATTAAAATAAAATAAAAAATCACAAAAATAAAAAAAATATGTTTAATTATATTAAAACTAAAATATTCGTACAAATGTATGTAAAATATCCTAAACTAACCACTCCCAGGGTGGCTGGACAGATGGCGGCTGAAGGTTGATTGGAGGATTGAGGAGGCGAATGCTAAAGGCTACCATTGCCTAGGCCATCCCAACAATGTAGCGCTTCAACTCCTCCTCTGTTTGGCCTTGTGCTTCATTTCGCAAGCGCATTTCTTCTCGAGCTTTTTCTTCTCGCTATTGCAGGGCCACTAACTCCATCTCCAACCATTCGAGTTTGGAAGATGTCCCGCTTGTAGTCTGAGAGCTAGAAGTAGAAAATCCCTTCGCGGTCCTAAACCCGACCCACTGCCCAAACTCTGAGGGTTGATCAGTAAAAGCCTCAACAGAAGATGCACAAGTCTAGTAGTACTTATGCAACTTGTACTTCCACTACTTTACTATCCAATCCACACCCGCTTTAAGTACCCGGACATACCCAGATGTTCCATGTCCATGGAGAAGTTGACATGAAATACACACCAAAAAACAAGTGTATTAGTTAAAAATATACATTAAATAAGTAAAAGTAATAAAAATATTAAATGAATAAAATTTCTTACTTACCGAGATTTGTCTCATCATCTCATCCAACCTGGGGGAGAGCCACTCCCATGAAGGGGCGAGCAGGGGCAGGCCTGACCCAACCTCATGTCGTCCCGATCTGTGAACATGCCTAGCAGATGGGGCACTCGCTCCATCACGGCCGCCTGGGTGCTGCCAGACATTTCACAGTATTCCTACCTACAAATTAAATAATTTAAATCCTACAAAATTCACAAAACAACCCAAACCAAATACACCCACCCACCTCCCCCCCCACCCCCCCCCCCCCCCCCCAACAAAAACCCCGCAACCCACCCTTTCCCCACACCCCACCCAACACCTACCCACCACCCCGCAATCCACTACCCCACTGTCCCCTAAACCCGACCCTTCTTCCCACCCCGCAACCCACTTTCCCCACACCTCATCCTGCACCCATCACACAATCACAATTTATAAAATTCCTACAATTAACCAAATCAAATTCGAAAAAGAGTGAGTGATCATGCCTTGTGAGAGAGATAGGAGAGAGCAGAGAGAGATCAGATAGCAGAGAAAGGGAGTAGAGAGAGCATAGAGTTCAGGAAGCGCCGCGAGGATGAAGAAGAAGAAGGCTCTCAGTATTATAATACAACACACCCCTGCCCGACGGAAAGGTTCGTTGGGGGAAGTTTAAATGTTATGACACATGTTCCTAAACCTTAAAAGCTCGTTGGGAACACTGACCAAATTAATCGGGGAAAGTCACTTAAACATGTCTGCGCATTTCAATTTTTGACGAAAAAAATAGTGGGAAATAAATTTTGCCTAACGAAATTTTCTTACACTTTAATTTGTGAGGAAATTTGATTTTGATTTTTTGGGAAAAACGCGGGGGAATTTTTACGTTTGCCTCATGAATTTAGCAATGTAGCATGACGAAATTGTGTATGTTTGCCTAACGACCTATACATATTTCGTCAGGAAAACATAAAAAATTTATTTTTTTCCATACTTTTTTGGTTTAATTTCAAACGGTTAAAAGATCATCGAATTTGATGATCAGGTCAATTCAGTGCGTGGTTAGACTTGAAAATTTCTTACACGACACATTAACATGACATTAAAACGACCCAAAATAACGGATTTCAGGTTAACATGATAACTAATCGGATCGTTATCGGGTTACTCATTAAGACCTCGTTAATAACGAGTTTAAAAGCAGGTAACACATGGATAACTCGTTTTGACACGCTAAGAAAAAAATTATTTTGATGATTTTAAAGTTAAACTACTAAATAAACTTACTATAAAATACAATAGTCATAATGTATACATTGTATATTAAATATGCATTATTGTATTATTATTCTATATAAGAAAATTTATTTATTTATTTTTATTATAGAGTTTCTTATTATCATTAATGAGATGAATTTTACTTGACTTGAATATGTATTATTGTCCTAAACCCTAAATCATAAACTACACATTTGTGCGGCAAAACCTGAATGGTTTGTCGCGCAAAGGATGCTATACTATGCGCCAATTTTTTCCCTTGGCGCTAACCTGACGTTGGTAGCTTTGCCCATCAAATTCGTTTCGTTAGGCAAAAGCCTCTGAAGAAACCAAAACGTTGACCAGTTTTGCCTGATGAACGTTTTTATTCTGTCAACCCGATGAACGTTTTTATTCTGTCAGGTATAGTTTATTTGCCCAATTAAAGTTTGTTCGTTAGGCAAATGACAGTTTATGGTAGTGAACTCCAGAACAACGCCCCATAAATAATACAATATTATGTAGAGAAAAACTTGCACATGTCGTCATATTGTTAACATGGGACACTAGAGAAGACAGGAATCCATGAACTTTAGGCCATATATCCATGCCCAAAATCAAGGCTTAAGTACAAATTTGCTTCTTAAAAGTTTTGAATTTCTTTTTTTTTTTCACTTTGGCCGTTGAGTTTTTCACGATTCATTGTCTATTCCAGATGTTTGGCACAACGGTCCATTACGACAAATAAACCAAACTAGCCAAAGTGAATTGTGAAGAGCGCTAGTTTTGTCAACTTTTGTAACTAGTGTGAATGTTGCCCTTCGAACATAGCTAGATAAATAGATACTTGAGTATGTCATGACGTTGTAAAGATCTCATATAGTCCTTTATGAGCCTCTAAAATATCTTGTATACCATGACCGATGCCCCAATTGGTCCAATACATGTGACCTGCTACCAAAAAAAGAATTGCAATAGTTAAAAGATGGTGTGCAATATCTGTCAGCAATAGACCTGTAGTTA